ACCTCGGGCGTGGTCCAGGGCTTCGAGCATGGACGCGACGCCCACGTTGAGGCTCTCTTGCTCCATGCTCTCTGCGGCGTCATCGAGAGTGAAGAGCGTCGACGTCGGATCCTCTAGACTCGCCCATCAGAGCAGGGGCTCGCTCCGCATAGGCGAGTCACTGCCCACCGACGTCAGGGCCAAGGACGGCTCCCTGCCAGCTCCGATCACGGCCGACCCTTCTCGCCGTGATGTCCCCACCAGGACACTCCCTCCGACGATGGAAGGGGTCAGCGATACGAACATTGACTCCTCTCCCAGCACCATGACCTCCGGGGAGCCCTCGGCCACATCCCCCTCCATCCGGCCATGCCAGACATTGTCACCTGGGCCACCGATGGCGCGGGTCGCACCAGTTCCTCAGGCGCTGCCTCGACAGTGCCCGGCTGTGACCCGCCTGTCACAGCTGCCGCCACCTCTGCCTATGTCGGTAGGGTCCTGACCGGCTGTGTCATGCCCGCCACAGTCGGTGTCATGAGCACAGTTGGCAGCCTTGTCCGCCCCATCATCAGTAGCTGTATCGCCCCCATCGCCGGCTGGTCCACGACCTCCAAAGGCATCTCTTGATCCCCCGTGTCCGCCCGTCCCGCCGAGGGCATGGTCGCGACCATGGGCGGTGCCTGACTGGCCGACGACGTAGTCACACTGGCGTCGCTCTCACCCGAAACGGGCATGATGCCAGCCAACGGCTACTGTCTCGCTTGAAGGGCGATGGTCTTCTTTGGTGCCAGCGCTAAAGGATTACGTCACCTCCCGGCGCTGCAAGAGATGAAAAGCATAAGTCACGATGAAATCCGACTAAAACAGGGAAAATAGAGATACTGATGACTTACCTTGGCACCATCGGGTGGCAGATATGTTTGGGGTGTGAACCCCCCGACTTCTACTCCGCCTCGTCGAGGCTGGGCCATTTCGAGCCTGCCCCCTGCTCTTGGGAAGAGGGGCTCGCTCCCCTTGGATCTTAGGGCGCGACGGCGGAGCCACCCGCCTCCGCTGGCACTTCGGGCGCGGTGGCAGATCCGCCCGCCCCTGTTGGCTCCTGGGGTACGCCGATGGTATGACCCATCGCCCCTGGCTCCTCGGACGTGCCCTCCCCTCCATGGAACAGGAAGGGTCCCAACTCCTATAAGGACGAACTGATACCTGTCAGCACATCCTCGTTCTCAAGTATGTCCCACTCGACATCGTTGGCTACCTCGTCGTCATCGCCATCATCATCATCATCGCTGTTAGTGCCCTCTCCCCGTTCCCGCTCCTACAGCTTTCGCTGCTTCTTCTTCCTGTTGTCCTCCTTCACCTTCCTCAGCCACTCGCCCTCAGCATGATTCGCCGCCCTCACGGATGAATCCCTTGGCAACGGAGTTAGGTCATTCATGAAGATGAGGTCCCTCAGCTGATCCCGCCCCCCTCAAAGTTAGTATCAAGAGATCGGGAAGTCGATTGAAGAGAAGGCAAAAGAAGGGGAAACTTACGAAGACGACGTAGCCTAGTTCCGGCCACATTGGAGGATGTCCCGGCACTGGAAAGACAAAATTGAGGGGGGCACCCACATCGTCCCGTGAGGGCTCCATGGCCTCCTTGATGCATTGCGTGATCTCAGATTTTGGGAGTGCCCCCTCGACGAGCGTCGTTCCGTCGAACGATGCCTCGGGCACCATCACATATAACGGGAGCACGCACGTCATCAACGGTGTGGCCCTCCTTGTGTGGTTGGCCCCGATGATGCCTGACCCATTTAGGCCATTCTCCTTGAGGATGTGGATGGCGACGATGTGGTTCCGGATCTTCTTCTTGTCCTTCTCCGGGATGCCCCACTTTCTTCATGACTACGGGGCCTCTTTGATCAGGTGACCGGTGAACTCTGGCAGAGGGGCGGCAGCGTTGTTCTTGAGGTAGAACCACTGCAAGTGCCACCCCTTGTTGCGCATCGAGAGCCGCATAGGTGGGTACTCGCTGACCCGATTGTTTCAGAGCTGGATGCTGGCGCACCCCATCGACATAAGCAGCTCCTGTCTGCCACTTTTCTCCCTCTTCTTCTGGAGGGTGACAGCGAAGAAGTGCCTCCACAGATCAAAGTGGGGGTTGATCCCCAGGAACCCCTCGCATAGGGCGACGAACGCTGCCATGTGCTGGATCCCGTTGGGATTGAGGTGCTGCAGCTCGATCTTATAGCAATGCAGTAGCCCCCAAAGAAATATGTGGGAGGGAGTCGCAAACCCACGCTCATGGAAGTGGGCAAATGACACCGCATAGCCATCGGGCGGTGATGGCATATCCTTCTCGCTGAGCAGTAGCCACTCCTCGGCCGAGGTCCACGCACGGAGAAGACCGCGACGGATGAGACCTTCCATGCGCTGGAAGGTGATGTCGGAGTGGCACCACAGATCCATTGAAGGTGGGGGCGGATGGATGCGTGCTCGATGGCGGCGGAGATGCGGAGGCGAGAGACCTAAGAGATTGGTTGCGGCGGTCGTGGCAACAGAGGCAAGGATGCATGGTATGGAACCCGGGGGGTGAAACCTACCGCCTGCCTAGATCTCCGCACCTACCACGATCCGCCACAACATCTCGCCACAGGAAGTGCGCACGCAATCTCTGTCTGTTCCCTCGGAAAACTCATCGAACGTTTTGCCTCACCAGACGGGCCATGACTCATCGCAAGTAAGAGGAATATGGATCAAAAAAACACCTCTACGGCCTGCCAGGGCCTAGGAGTTCGAAGGTTGGCCCATCAACGGGTTCGATAAATCGCTCCGAGCACCCTTAGAGTAAGGGATGAAAAGGGATGGGCCCGCAAGTGGCTAGTACCCAGGCGCATGAGCACCACGGGCATCCTGGCCCACGATCGAGTCTCGGCCAGGTATGATCCATGGTTTTCCCCATCGAAGGGTGGAGAGCCCTCGGGACCGGTCGAACGGACACAAGAACTATATGGATTAACCGCTGAGAATCTAAAGTCGATCACCAAGCTGACCCTAGCCGAATCCCCGCGAACGGGATGCCTGAACCCCACTTGAACTAGCCAGCTAACAACCCACCAAATCTCACGGTCATACCCACGAAGGGTTCGACCTCGACGAGAGGGAATCACCATCCCTGGAACATGCCGTGGGCAACATAAGAGGGCCAGGGCCCTCCGAGTCCTCCTGTTTAGAAAAACCTCCGAAGGAGTATTCTACTCCTCCGCAGGCTCGGGGCCTACTGTCGGGGATCAATACTAGAGTACCCGAAGAGGAGGAGCTAATAACCATCAACGTTGGTTCACCCGAGCGGTCAAGAGCTATACTACAACTCTTGTCGACCCCCAGGTACGCAAGCTCCGCCTCGCCCGACCCGTGAGGCGTGGCGCCGCCTCGCCCGACACCGAGGCCGTAGGCTCCGCCTCGCCCGACCCCTTAGGGGGACTCCGCCTCACCCGACACTAAGGCCGCGGGCTCCGCCTCACCCGACCTCTAGGTTTGGACTCCGCCTAGCCCGGCCCTTGGGTTTGGACCCCGCCTCGCCCGGCCTCTGGGAAGGAACTCCGCCTCGCCCGACCCCGAGGCCGGGGGCTCCGTCTCACCTGACGGAGACCCATACCGCCGCCAACCATTCCAGGTCCAAGCGTATGGCCCTGGGTCAAAGCTCTGACACTAGGGAGGGGACTGGCACGCCTCGATATAACCCGCGACCACAATGGGCCATACCTGAGGGTTCACATTAGGAACAGCGTCGGGCGTACCGGTGCTATTCTGGCTAACCCCCGTACGAACACTGATGGGCACGTCAGTTCACCACGACGTCCGCCAGGACGGGATGGAGCACCATGACCGGTGGACGATGCCTACACATGGCACTAGTGATATATAGGGTCACGACATAAAGCTGTCCCTGTTGACGTCTACAGGGTCGGCGGGACCCTCACAGAGGAGAAGAGGGACCTGACGATCCTGAAGAACTTCTTCCTCTCATTCTCTTCCTCCGTTGTAACCCCTGCTTTTCCTTGACCTATAAAAGGAAAAGTAGGACGTCCTATGAGGGAACATCGGAACTCATCACAAGCACACAATAGAGAAGCGACCGAGCTCTCGGCGCCCGTTCGCTCCTCTAGCCAGAGATTTGGGACATGTCCCTCTCTCAACCGTTTGTAACCCCTAATATGAACTTTTCAGTGTTAGTAACACGAGCAGCAGCAATGAACTGGACGTAAGGGCATTCTGCCCGAACCAGTATAAACCTTATGTCCTCTTAGCACACCATCCAAGCCAGACGCGTAATATTAAAAATTTACTCATTGATGTTTATTCGAAACACCGACAGACGGATAGGAGCTGAAACTAAGGGCGTGTTTGACTCGTAGCCGCAACACGCCACACCGTAGTTGTGGTGGAGGAAACGAGCGCCAGACTTTTGGCAGGAGTTGGTGCACAACTAGACAAGGAACGGGGCCGCAGTTTGGGCACGCCCAACGCACAGCAACAACCAAACGCAGTTTCAGTGCGCGTCAGTTTAGTTGTGGCGAAGTGCGTCTACGAACCAAACACACCCGAAAAAAGAAAAGGTTGCTCCGTCGGTAGAACTGTACTAAAGCGGGCGTTATTGTTATCACTTTGTAGCCTTTTAATATATGTCAAAACTATCTGCCACTTAGGATGCATTGTTTAGAGGGTCTATTTTGGACAGTTGGTAAGTCGATGTACCATGTATTTGATTTTATAATTCAAGTTAAAAATCAGAGTACCATGAATAATTAGAATCTGAGCTTCAAAAATCAATTGGTTTTACCCCTTCTATTTTAAATTATAAGATGCTTTGACTTTTCTAAATACATTCTTGTGCATAGTAAAATCCATATGTATTTAAGTAAAACCTAAACGTTTTGTAATTTAAAACTGAATTAAGTACCTATCTATAAATAGCGCAGTGTTTAGCAGGCAGCAGAGCAGAGTGGCAGAGTGTGAGGTAGGAAGTCTACTTGACAAATGGATGCTGCGCATGCCGTGGACATCGCTTCCCTGGCCCGGGAGCTGAGGGAGGACCTAGCCACCGCGGACGCGCCGGCGGCGCGGTTCACCAGCGGCTGCCCCGTCGTCATCGCCGAGGTCGGCAGGCTCACCCGCGACGTCAACCCGGAGGCGTACGAGCCGTACCACGTCTCCATCGGCCCGTACCACCGCATCAGGAACCCAGACCTCGTCAGGCACGAGGACAAGATCAGGAGCCTCGGCACCGTCCTGTCGGCGGCGAGCGCCGGCGTGACGCTAGAAGCCTACCTCGATGTGGTGGCGCGCATGGAGGCCCAAGCCAGGAGCTGCTACGCCCACACCTTCAACCTGGAGAGCAACGCCTTTGTGCGCATGCTGCTGCTCGACGCATGCTACGTGCTAGTCCATTTCGGCGGCGTCGGCGCCGGCGGATGCAGCGGGAACGGCGGCGACATGATGGAGGCCGTCGGGGTGGTGCGCGACGTGATCTACCTCGTGGAGAACCAGATACCGTTCTTCGTCGTCGACGAGATCCACAAGCTCACCATTCCGGACGGCGGCGGCGTCTCTGCGGCTGACGCGATCGCGGGCTACGTCCGGGAGCTCCTGCGGGGGCAGCAGTACTCGGTGGCGACGCCGGCGGTGGCTGAGCCTCCGGGCCCAGGCAATCTTCTGCATCTGCTACACATGCACCTGACGCCCACCGCTGAACTCGTCTCGTCGTCACGCACGACGACCGGCAACAGAGTCGCCGGCAAGCAGCGTCGGTTCGGCCGGTGGCGTTCGGCGACGGAGTACTACTGCGCCGGCGTGGGGTTCAGGAGCCGGCCTCTCGTCGGCAAAGGAGCTCGCTCGATCCTCGACGTGAAGCTGGACGGCCGCGGCAGCACGTTGGAGATCCCGCGCCTGAAGATCGACGCCGAGACGTCGCGGCTCCTGCGGAACCTGATGGCGCTGGAGCAGAGCAACCCGGCGGAGGCGGGGAGCCACGTGACGGCGTACTGCGTCTTCCTGTCGCAGCTGGCCGGCACAGTGCGGGACGTGGAGCTGCTGTCCAGGCGCGGGATCATCGCGCACGGCCTCGGCAGCCACGACGAGGTCGCCGCCTGCTTGGCGGACCTCTGCAAGGGCGTCGCGTTCGGGGGTGACGACCCCGGCGGCAACTACCTGCGCGAGACGTGGCAGGGGCTGGAGGAGAGCTTCCGGAGCCGGCCGCGCCGGTGGGCGGCGTGGCTCATGCTCAGGTACTTCAGGAACCCGTGGCTCGCCGTCGGGCTCGCGGCCGCCGCCGTGGGGCTGGTTTGTACCGTGGTGCAGGCGGTGTACGCTGTCTTGGCTTACACACCAGATGCTTAGTAGGAATTCAGTCAATGAGGCAACACTGTGTGGCTGTGCCTGTGAAAAGTCAATATAGGTGTGCGTAGTAGGTCCAGCATGTCCTTTGTTTTCTCTTTTTTTTAGCAGAAGAAGAAAGGAAGGATTCTGTTACTAATCAGTGTACTATTAATTAGTTGTCATACTGGCTAGACAGGCTGTTCGGCCTGTTCGCTGGTTGGTTTCTGGGCTGGTTTGGACTAGCTGGTGCTGGTTTGTTGTGAGAGAAAAACATTGTTGGCTGTCTATTTGGGCTAGCTGAAGCCAACAAGCGAACATGCTGGTTGTGGAATCAGTCCTACACTCTGAATTTCTCTTTCTTAACAATGATCATGTACCTCCATGTCCTTTAATGAATGCTCTCAATTCAGTAACTATGGATCATGTAACCGTCTTATCAGATTATTGCTGTTGAAATAAAGTCGATTGTTGTAAAAAAAAAAAACTAGTGGTCAACCGTGCATCAAGAAAATTTTGACTGGCATGCAAATAACTATTTATTCAATAAGATGTTTTGATTTCCTCGACTAATCTGTTTACCCAAATCTTGGTTGAAGCTGAATTAAATCCCTAACCTAGATGTGGAAGAGCCGGGATTTCGAGCTACAATAAAGACGATAGTGATTTGAATATTTAATTCTCTAGGTGTAAGTTCTATGTATTTTTAGATGACTTAAAAGGTTCTAGACTTTTAGTATTTATGAAGCATCCTACTATTCACTTATTATAAAAGTTCGGCATCAAGCTGGATTCATCACGCATCCTGTATCCATGACGTGGAGAAAGATAATGGAAGACACTGAAATTGTGTAAGTACCTCGCTTGATAGAACAATAAATCACTAAAACACCAACACCAGCAGGAGCTAGCAGTAGTATCCAATATAATCAGACTGTTCGGCTGGTCTATAAGCTGTTTATGCTGATTTGTATAGCTGATTTATTATGAGAAAAAATACTGTACCATGGCTAATAAGCCCCGGTTGAAACGACCCAGCGAACAGGAATCTTGGATAGGTAGGAAGCAAGCACAGGAAATCCATGATAGGAGGAAGATACTAGAAGCTTCTAGAAGACACTGGAAGCAAGGGATACGGGTACACCATACCAGAGAGTAGTGGTAGTGTCGGGAGAAAAATCGGTAATGCTGGGTCAGAGTGTTTGAATGGACCTTCCCAAAAATTTCCCCACTCGCTACCGCGCCGTCTGCTCGTTCCACCGCGCCGCCCACCTTCCCCACTCTGCGCTCCACTGCGTCCCCGCCTCCACTAAGCCGTCCAGCCTCCACGACGGATGCTCCAGCAAGCATGCGAGTTGAGGAGCTTCGTGTGACGCCACCCCGCCAGCGAGTTGCCAGCGCCACTGCCACACCAGCGAGCTCTGCGCCAGTGTCGAGCTCTACAATGACGAGCCTCCATTCGTCAAGCAGCAAGATGACATTGCGCTGAAAGCGCATGTTGCAAGCGTATGTTTCAAGTGTTTCATACGTATGTTGCAAGTGTATTATATCGACGTTGCAAAAATAGATCGGGATGTTGAACATGTTGAAATGACTATACGTATGTTTTAAATGTATGTTCCAAATGTTTCATCTATTTTAGAGTGTGACTATTTCATCTCGACGTCGTAAAAGTTGATCTGGATGTGGCATATACATGCATGTACATACGTATGTTGCAAGTGTTTAATCTGAATGTTGCTTATGTTTTACAATGTCTACACACGTGTTTTCAAGTTTTTCTGGTGTTTTGTAAGTGTTTTAGACGTATGTTGCAAATGTTTCAGTTCTTTTCATACACATGTTGTAATATTTCATCTAGATGTTGGAAAAGTAAATTTGATATTGCACATGTTGCAATAGGACCCACCTACCACAGTCGCCTGCTGCAGCTGATAGGGCACCGTCGTGGGTGACCGTTCGGGCATCGGAGGCCGGCAGACGCATCCGCGGTGTGGCATCCACAGGCGAGGCAGGTGATTGGGACCCACATGGGTTCCTCCGTGCTGGCGCAGCGGTCATGCAAAATAGAGCGAGCACGATAACAGGGCGGTACACAGTGTGGAGTCCACTCGATGGGACGTCCGAAAACAGGCGGCGCGGGCTTGGCCTCCCGCACGTACCGGAGACGTCCGATATTTTGGAGCGGTTCTAGACGTTCAGGCGCTAAGAAAATAGTAACATGAGACGGAGAATTGATTTCTCAGCCGATGCTCTTGATCTGCTTCTTCCATGGACCATGGTCTATCCACTTAGGCAGCTTGGCCCATGACGCATCACCAGCCCATTTTGTGATCATCCCTAATACATCGGTCTATATATTCCACTGAAAAAAAAAACATCGGCCTATATATAAGCTATTTATGGTTTAGAAAATAAAATTAGAAGCCAAATGCTACTAGTATATACTGACCGCACACTGTAGTTTCGCTTGGTTAGTGGTGTGCATCATGAATCTAGCTTTGGATCTTCGTAGTCCTCCACTGCTGCAACGATCAGTGACTGAGCTAATAAAGTATGTGAACAATAGCCAACATAGAGCAGAAGCTCGAGAAAATTTTACTATTTGGCACTCGAAAGACTTTTGCTTTCTTATTTAACACTTAACTTTAGAATCTTGAATATTTCTCACCCCTTTCATTTTTTTCCTTTCCTATTTAATACTTTTGTTACTTTAGAGCCGTAACTGTGTTAAATGAGAGGCGGAGCTCCCCATGCGGCAGAGTGGGGCAGCTGCCCCAGCTACCGCTAGAGTAGATCCCCTAGTACCCCTCTGTCTTCCCTCCGGATAGCGAAGGAGCGGCGGCGGCCGGCATCCCACGCACCGAGAAAGACGAGAGAGCAGGCAGGAACGAGTAAGGGGCGGTTTGGCAGGGCTCCGCTAGCGGCTCCGGCTTCTGTCGAAGCCCTGCCAAACGCCGATGAGTAAACCAGCTCCGCTGCCAAAGCCGCAAGGGAGCCAGAGCACTTTTTGTGCTGCATGGACGGAGCCCCAAAACTGAGCTTCCCCTGGCTCCTCGTCCATCTGTGTGCGAAAAGACATGGAGGCCACGCGCTACGCGAGAGCGTGGCAGCGGTGGCGAGGCCATGGGCGTCGCGGGTGAGCGGCATGGTGGCGAGGCCCCTACGAAAAGCAACACAAACAGAGGAGGATCTGCTACCAAGAATAGGAGAAAAGATAGGGTTCCTAATGTAAAAAGTACAAGAGAAAAAGAAAACAATTGATGGCTCCCATTGCAACATGTTCCATGCTTCTACCTCCACCCCTTTGCCAAGCACTTCGAGTCTAGGTAGGGGCACATTTTGCCGTTTCGGACACCGGTGATCTCGCCGGAGCGCCGCCGAGCTCCATGCTCGTCGTGGCCAACGCAAGCTCGAGCCTTTTCATTCTTTCTCTCTCGTCTTGTCACCTCTGTAGGTCATAGGAACTCACGACGGTGACCATTTAGACGCTACCGCCCTAACGGCGCCGGAACACGGCCGCGCACCGCCGTGCTATCGCGGCCGCGCGGCCATGCACCTTGGCAGAGCTCACCACCGCCTCACCAGAACCCTAACCCACCCTAGATAGCTTCGTTAGGATGCCACAAAGCCGTAGCACACCTCACCGAAGCATGTGATGGCCGGAGAACGCCGGCGTACCGCCGCACTACCTTCGCCGTCCACCATTGTCACCAGCGAGCCATCTCCGGTGAACCCTAGGTCGCGTCTTCACCACCAACCGACGCGGCTTGATGAGGGGAACATGTTGGTATCACCCTCGTTGCTGGTGAACTCGTCGCCGACGAGATAGGGCTGGCCGAAGCGCCTCCCCTGCCCCAATGTCACTGACCAGCGGGTCCCAGCTGTCAGCGGCTGTAGTTTTGGTTTTCTTTTTATTCTTTTCATGAAATGCTTGTGAACTTTGAAAATTTATAAGTCGAGTTGTAGATGTCCATTTTGGGTGAATCAAATTTGTTGGATTCATCATGAAGTGTACTATTTAATAAAAAAATATGAAACCTGTTGTTTGGGATGTTTTTTGGGAGAATTAAATGGAGCTAAATAAGTGCTTTTAAATTGTTTTCAATTTTGTAAAATGCATAACTTGAGTTAAGAAAGTGATAAAATTGTGATTCCAATTTTGCTGATCTTGTGTTGACTTGCTCTAGTTAGGAAAAACGTTGAACTTGCAGTAAACTTGATTGGAGTAGAGTCTTTCTATTTATCTTTTAATAAATGATGTTTTCTGAGAAAATTCATAAGGATAAAAATAAGTAACATATTGCCATGCAATTTTTTGTACAGTGTTAATGGGTTTTAGGGAAGCTAAGAAAAATATAAAATCTATTGTTTGACATTTTTCACTAGGCTAAACTATTTTTGTTAAAATAAAGCTATGCAAATTGTCATTTTTGTAGAGATGGCTATAGTTATCCAAATGGCATGAAATTTGTACAGTAGACTTTTGGAGTCATATGTAGCCTACTGTATTTTTCTAAGAATTTATTGTGCACTTTTGATATATTTTCTTTATTTCACCTTAGTGTCCAAATAAATTAATAAAGGCATTTAAATAATTTATTTGGGTTCGACCATCATGTTTTCTAGAGTGTGTATGATTCCTATGAAATGTTGGTGCCATTGGTTGTGCCCAAATTTAATTGCTTGATTGTAGTGAAATATTAATTTCTCTATAATTTAATTTTAGTGACAGTTTGGATAGTTTTGGTTGTTAAGTAAATTGCATGGGTAAGGTGATGTTTGCTGTGAATCTTGCCAATAACAAAGTTGTAGATAACTTACTTATATTGCTTGTGTAAAAATTTTAGAGCAATAGGCCAAATAGTTTAGGAGTTATAGCTGTTAGAAGTTGGTATCTCAAAATGCTTACTCTCTGGAATTTCTGGACAGATCTGAGAAATTGTCTTGTTTGACTACGATAGAGGTTGAATCACCTTTTGCTAATTAAATGAAAGTTGTAGGACATTTTATAGGCTTTCTAG